AAGTTAATGTGAAAAATCCAAAATGTATACCTTGTAATTAGTAAGTAACTAAGAAAGAACATTAATTGTGATATTTTATCATGTACTTACAACAAAAATTCAACTGAATTAAATACGAACAAAATTTAGCCAATAAAAAGTAGTTCAATGCACAATTGGTTATATTCCAATTAGATTCCGGTAAATTAAATTGTTGTGAATATTTGACCAAACTACAATATTACAGGTTTTTAATGTAGAAATTTTACAGAAGATAAGATTTTCCTTAATAGCTGTTACAAAATGAGAATATATAGTTCTTTCTAAATACCCGACTTCAACTTTAATTAATTTTACCTTCTAGCTATACTTGCTTATTCTGCAGTACTTGTTTTTGAAAAAACAGGATTCAAGAATTTGCTTTCGCAGACCTCACTCGATAACCTGACTTAAGCAATGATGATGATGTTTTCCACGTTCACAGCATTGATCTCCTTAACATGTCCTTTAGTTTGTTCAGTTTTAAAATATTCTAATTTATGATTTATAAATAACTCACCATATCATCTATGTGAATGTAGACTTTTAAAACAATTTATCAAGAATAGTTGATACTCGGCCTTACTGTAAATATGATTTTTTACCCAATTACGACTATCATATTATAAAAACATCTCCAGAAACATTTAGAAATTAATGAGACAATAATATAGTATAACAATGCAAAAACTGCAAGTAGATTAAAATAAGTTTTGGTGATAAAATTTGAAAATATAAATATTAAGTTTGGATCTTGTCACACGTAATGATAAACTCTGCTATTTTGTAGATAGAAAGGATTTATTTTGTTACTTTTACATTATCATTTCATAGAACATTAATCATAAAAATTGTAAAACATGTCATGAGGAGGTTATCAAATTTCAGAAAGAAGCATTATTTATGTGCCAGAACAGGCAAATGCATCACAGTTTATAATTATAATGGGGAAAAAAGAGAAATGCACTCAAGAATTGCTGAAAATGCGAATGCAAGTAATGTACTTTGGAAGTCTGACGTAGAAATGCTCATAAATACACCACAAACACAGGTTGATCGTAGCCAACCGGAAATTCAAAAACAACCTTGTCAATATCGCAATAATCAGTCTGATGAAATAAGGAGTTTTATTCATACCTTTTGGGGCAGTTGGAGGCTGTTTTAATAAATCAACTTAGATTAAAGCACTCTCTCTATGGATTTTTTTTTTTTTTTAAACACACTGTCAAGTCAATGTGGAAGTATAAAAATATAAAGTATAAATCAATATATTAATTATTTTATTCATTTCAAGGAGGCTGTAGTATAGTTATTATAGCTTTTAATTGAACATTAGAATAAAAAAGCTTTCTTACACATACCAATGTAACCATCCATACTTATTTGTTTGCATGGACTCTTAAATTGGTATGTAATAATAAATTCTGAACTTATAAAACATATGTAAATCCATTTTCCTGTCTCATTAGAAAATAACCTACTTTTTCCAGATATGTAAATCAGGGGTATTATTCAATTTTTGAAAATATTTCTCAAATTTCAGTGATTTAAGCACTGTATTGCAAGGTGATGAAGATTTGGAACAATATAACTTATAAGCGACATTTTATAAACTAAAAATTAATTACATTATTTTATTAATTTATGTTAATGGCTAAAATTAGGCAACTATCTAACTAACTAAATCCTTTCCGAGCCTCTGGGGCTCATAGGGCTGGAGCTTAACCCCAGTTTCTGTAGTGTGAAGCGGGTGAGAGTTGTACTCCCCCTGGACGGGACACTAGTCCATCGCAGGTTAGTCCCCAGCAGATTGCTAGTACTCATTGATACAGGTGGGTGGGCTGAAGCAATGTAGCTAAAGTGCCTTGCCCAAGGACACAAGCGAATCTGCACACAATGGAAAATATTAACATCAAAATTTGTTATATTTGCCAATATGCAACAAGATAAATTATTGCAAAAGTTTCGAAAGACTGCAAAAGCTAGGTGTAATGATGTTTCTAATGGACAGGCATGTTCATAGAGAAGATAGATTGATGTTTAAGGTGAATCAGTGTTCAATAGGATTAAATAAGAAATTGTAGAGTATTAATTCTATTAGTAGAAAATCATGGGGTGTTCAATCAAAGCAATTTAAGTTGCTTTACTCAGAAAAACAAATCCCAGTCGCTTTTCATTTCTTTTAAATTAATTTATATATAGTAGTAAAATTATTACCTTACACTAAAATGCTTTCTGTTTTCTTGTTAATAAATTAATACACATCAGCAGGCACAACATAGAGGGGGGGGGGGAGGGAAGAAGGGATGAGAAGGAATCAGTATGTGAACTGACCCTAACAGCATAAGCAACTAGTTCCTATTCAGATTAAGATCTAAGAAATTGCCAGGAATAGCATCAGTGACCACTGCCAAATGGTGACCTGGCCTAGAAACCCACCAACATTAATAAAAACAGCAAACCAATTTGATACAGACTGCCTCTGATGGACAACAACAACTGTATATAAAACTCTGCCTCCACTATTATTTCAAGATGCCACATATAATGCAGTCGTCCTATGTACACAGTGACCTTACACAAACTTGATGTGTATCTTATATTACTGTACTATTATTTTCTCTTTTTGATCAGGGAAAAAAAAATTTAAACAAGCTTTAAAATGTCTTGTTTGGTACTATTTCCAATGGGATGCTTGTTAAGATTTTGATATAAAAAATAATAATCCTAATTGTAATAATCAAGAATGATTTTGATACCATAAACAATTTTCTATCTAGATTTTCTGTAAGAGCACACACTCTTTGGGCCTGTTTTTACTGGAAAGAAAAAAATCGATTAAAAAATACTTTTTCAAAAAATCGCTTTTTTTCTCGCAGTAGAAACGGGACCAGTTTGAAAAAAGCAATTTTAAAAAATTTATTAAAAACATGCAATGGATAGTGTGTTTGAACGGCAAAAAAACCGATTTTGGCTGTGCACTTTTTAAATGATTAGTCCTCTTGTTCATGTCCTAGGTCTACAAGCTAAATCGTCAACAAACATGTGGAGTGACGAAATTACTCATTTTGTAATTATGTTGTGGGGGGATATATTGGGCCTAGACCTCTCTGCTCTTCTTCTGGGCCTACTGTTTTCCTCTTTCGTTGTGCCCGCCGCACACCATGTCCTCCTCCTCGTCATCGTGACCGAAATTCATGTGAAACAAGACAATGTACTTGAAGTAGGCCTATAATTGTCTTGTTGGTGAGAAAGAAACTATACAGTTTGGAAAACGTGTTGCAGTTTGGAAAAAGTGTTGTATAAACAAAATGGTGACGTAATTTTCGCCGCCAAAACCGATTTTTGTAAAAGCAAAAATGCAGTTGCAACGTGGGCAGGCTGCCTAGCACTCATTAAAAAAATTGATTATTTTGTGTTTATCAGTAGAAATACGCCCTTAGTAAATGGCAATATAGTATAATGATCACTTTTACTGTGGAGAACATAGCTCTCAGTGTGGTAATTGCATACTGAAAACTAGGACTTAAGTTCGCTATTTTATTTTAAGCCTGATTACACTGAATTGCATTATACAAAGCAAAATAGAAGGGATAAATTAGATCAAAACAATATAGGCCTACCAGTTTTGCCTTTCTGCAATCACCAAGAAAGAACATTTTTTCTAAGAGAATGTTGTTTCAGTAACAGTCATAACATTGCCTGTTTTTCCAAAGCTTTCAACTTCATATAGCACATCAGCCTCAATATGTTCATCAACAAATGATACATTATAGTCACAATGAAGATAATGGAAATGGAAAATGGAATTAGTTACATCCCCAGTTTAGTATGTTATTTCTTACTACAATGTCATTAGGTAATGAAATCATTACTTTTGATTATATTGAAGATTCCATATTCATATTATGATAGCCTGATTTTTATGGAACTGGATGTAATTGTAATAACACTGTAGTGGGCTGTGTAATTGTTTAACAAAGATTCCTTTTTTAAAAAAAAGCAGCTGATGAGAGTATACATTGATGGATTTCTGTGGTGAATTTCTCATAGAATTAGAAATGAGACTACAGTATCTGTAACTTATATATTAAGTAATCAAAATTACTATCCTAGAAATAAAGTGATGAACATATTGATGGGTCAAATTTACAGAAATTGTCCATTGAGAAAAAATGATATATATTATGATTAAAATTACTGGTACTCACAGACAAATTTTTTTTTTCACAATATTAATTGAAAGTAGAAGAGAGTAAATCAAAAGATTTCCGAAACCGTCAAAATCTTTCTCCTTCAATCATGATCATAATAATTACAGCAACCTAATAAAATTAGTAAAGCTAATGAGCAATACATTTTGAATAGTAAAGACAGTGGTTTTAAAAGTACATTGACCAGCTAGGTCAATGCTTTTTCTTAATCTTTTTTTGTGAAATTTGGAAATTTGTCAAGAAGTCAAATAACATTTGACAAATTTGTAGGAGATTACTTTCCAAATTAAAATCTGAACTGAAATACAGTCCTAGTGAATGAAAAAAAAATTGTTCACTGCAATTATATTATAGATTTCATAATGTTCCTTCCCATTATATGTTTTCTTCATTGGATCGGATACTATATTCTGAAAATATTATAATGATACATAACTACTGAATACAAAACAGTATTGAAGAAAATATGGAATCATAATACCGTTCATAATTCTCAAGCTCAGGATTATATCATATTAGATTTAATTTAACATGGTCGTTTGAAATGCTGGAATTTGATTGGTTATCTGAGTAGACAGAATGGCAGGTTTAAGTCTGACGACAGCAGGAAAAGTGTGTTATCGATTTGAATTATCTTTTGTGAGGCAAAGAGAGTCCATGTCTATTGTGTCAACAGGCAATTTACAGACACTATTGTGCAGAAATTATGCCAGTGTATTGTAATCATTGCTAAGCTATTGTATCGAGCATGAAAATAAAATGACTTACCCGATGCACGATCTCCACACACAGCACAAATGCTTTTATGTATGCTTTGTCCTGGCATCTGTCCCATCGGAGAAGTGGCTCCACCGGAGAGTTGGCTTGAGGACATAGAATGACCACCTGGGATCTGGAGGTGGGGTATCCCTGGCATGGACGAATGCGGTGGAGCATAGATAACGGGATTTGAGATGACCGGTTTAATGTCTTCATGTGATGATGCCGAGCTCATGCTTGATAAATTCGGTGACTGCATGTGACCGAGCGGGTGAGACATTGGCGGTGAACCGAGACCACTATGTGAATGTGCAGAGAGAGGCGAGGAACCCATGGTAGTGGTCGGACACTGTACTGAACTCATGGCTGATATAGGACTTATTGAATCTGAAAGAAATATACACATAAAAATTTACTTTAAAGTGTAAAGAGATTATTTCTAATATTATACACTAAAATAACTGTTGTAAAAACATTATCTTATTAAAAATAAAATATACAAAATCAAATTTATAGTATGAAAAAGAATACTATTTCTATACATACAAAAAATAAAAATCAAAATAATGTAATGGATAAAAATAATATATTTCTTTCTTCATTTGGGGAAAAGGCTAATAAGACAAAAATGTTCAGATCTTAAAAGAAAATTCAAGTTTTAAATCTGTACCCAATGAAACTAACAAACACTCATTCAGTTTCACATGAAACATTCATAAAAAGCTATAGTACAAAATGATTAGCTTGTATGAAATTACCATACTGCAAGCGATAACCACATCTTAAATATAACTCATAAATAGACGACTACGAATGCCAACACAGTAATGTGTACTCACGCATGTCAAAAAAATATTGAAATATCTACAAGAAGTTAAACACTCGAATGCTTGGATAGTACATTCACTTGATGGTAAAATCCATTGTCTAGTAAACGCGCAAATAGTAAGACAACCTCGGTGTAAGATCAATGCAGAAGTGATCACAAATACGGCGTATTCTCAACTAAATGCCACAATATACAGTTAAAATATACTGATTTGCATATTGCCTCAAGCACAGTAACCTTGACAGAGCCTGCCATTGATTGGACTGCAAGCAGGCTGTACTGCATGATTTGCACTGCTGCTGCTGCTGCTGCTGCTTACATACAGGAAGAACCTGATGTGAAACTGAATATATAAAACACAAAAATCAATTGTAATGGTACAACTATCACAACTCACTCAATTACTGGTTCTTATAACTCAACACAATGAATTTGGCAGTGTACTCTCATCAATTGATTCTTTAAAATAATCAAAAAGAAAATACTTTAAGTTTAAATAGTAAAAATAACTTCTATGTGATAAATTTGATATTAAATAAAATATAAACTTATTTCTTCACTAGCTCATTTTCCGAATCCAGAAATCCAAACATCTTAGTATGCAATGGGCATGGACCCAGTTATGAAAGCTTTTCCTCAATGACTTTCCAAATTTTCGCCAGAGGGTGTCCTATTTATTTGGCGAGCTATGTATTTAATAGTTTTTGAAACTGTTTTTCGCAGTAGATGACGTAACAAGATATATACGAAAAAAGACAAGGACACAAAAGACAAGGACACATTTACAATATTTCTTGCTGTAATAATTATTGTAGACTGTACTTTGAATGCAAGCTGGAAATTTGATGGCTTTATATTTATTGCAAATTTCTAGGCCTAAACTATTCTTGACTGTAGACAGAATAGTAATTTACAGTAGTTTCTTTAATAATATTGAAATTATTTATTTGTTTGGATATTACCGTCCTCATATAAACCTAATAGGGCATTGGCTAGTGTGTGGATACAGTACAGTAAATATATCCTGTAGTAAATGTTATAATTTGTGGCTAATTGTAGAGTACTGTAATTATTATTGTGAGTCTATATACAGATAATTATAGGGGAAAAGGTAAAGGCATTATTTTTTCCAGGAACTTATTCATCTGTGAATATATGTATTTTAATCTGTACTTAATATCCACTTATGGCTGTGGTGTGACTTACAGTAGTGCTACCTTTTGTCATTATGGCTTTCTTAGAAAAAAGTAAGATGACCTCAAGTTATTTCAGAAAAATAGATCAGTACCATTTGTTTTAAAATCAGACTACTGTAAGTACGCAATGATGTGAATTTGACCAGTGACTTATGATTCTAGGATTTTTGTAAAAACTGAAATTTTACAGCCAGATTATTTCCCATGTTGAAATAGAAAATTGTCATCATCCTCACTGATCACCTTAACACCCTCCTATCCTCTCACAGGACATTGAGGATTAAGATAGTACAAATGCCTTTCAAAAACTCATGTAAAAACTCATAACTTTATATAAAAAGTAGGTGTCGCATATCGGTTTAAGATAGATTTCTTTGGTATGAAACAAACAAAGATGGGATTTTTCATGTGGTTAAATACCGAAATCACACGACAGGAATGAACTAAATTTTAATAAACTGTACCAAGGATATTTTCCCTAGCATGGATATTTTGGTCGTGAGAGTGCTTTGTAAGAATGTTACTGTATACTTAGGAAATCTGAAGAAAATTAAAAGGTAGCACTCTGAGACTAATTTAGATGTTATTTATTCAACACAAGCTTTCGCTGGCAAAAAAATCTAAACAAATTTTAGGAAATCTGGTAGAAGACAGGCCTCACAAATTTCATGAGATATTTAGCAAGGATCTGTGTGCATTGTAACGGGACGCTGCTTATCTTTCACTTTGGTGATGCACATACCTTTACTTCTGCGTATCGATTGTACCAAATTCATTTTGTATTTAGTCTCGGTAGGGAAATATCAGAACAGAATTCCATAGTGTTAATATTTAGTACATTTTCTGTTGTGAATCAGATAAACATAGTTCAGCAACATTATTGCATAATATAAAAAAAAATACAAGGACAGGTTGGTTAACAACAAAGCAAATGATTCAAAAGGAGCAGTATGTGGTTTTTGGCCTGGCCAAGGTCTGGATACAACTTTGTATGGTATGTTTGTGGTAGCCATCTTCTTTAAAAGAAAAAAAGGCCTTAAAAACATTAATAAAACCCACATTGTCCAACATTCCATTTAACTTTGCCAAGACATAAAATACAAACAGTATGCCAGTGATTTAAAATATTATAGCGATATCAGATTTGAATTTAATTAAATTCACACATGGTGTTAGTAATATTTTAACTTTCACCTTTAACATCACAAAATGGTGTTGTTTTACTCTGAATAGTTATGGCATTGTCAATGTATACTACTGTAAAATCAGAAACTTCGCAGCACGAAACTTTTACGAATTGACAATTTTGGCCGTTTTCGCCACAATAAAAGGCCTAAATTTTATTCATGAGAGGAATACCATATAATAGCTGAAAATATTATATCGTGAGTTCGAGGCCTAGGTTAGATAAGCATATAGTCACGGTCTAGGCTACAGTAGCTAGGCCTAGGGAAGGCACCAGAAGCCTGCAGCATACCTCAGCTGCTAGGACCGGGACTTAGCTGGCCATCCCAGGCACAGTTAAGAGATAAACAAGTTTACACACATACAGTACTCACACGACATTCCTAAATTTTGTATGGTATTCAAGCATCCTACAATAAACAATGTTTATGAAAAGATGCGTTTTAACACACTGATTGAGATTACTAAACATCGTGGTATGTCATGGTATGAAAATTAGTTTCTGTTTTAACTTCTTAGTATACACTGCACAGTGGTTGCACATGTGCAATCACATGCAGTGATGATCAAGAACCTCCCTGATCAGTATACTTATTGAGTAGGTTATAATAGGCCTAGAATTTACAAATTTTTTTCGAGTTCAACATTGAAATTTAAGGTCAGAATATTGATTCAATAATTGAAATACATTCTTTTAAGTTTATACACATTTAATAAAATCCACCAAAATAATTAAAAATACAAGGTTTGAAATGCTGAATTTGTTAACTTTTCACAAACAATTTTGCAATTTGTGTTGATTCCCCATTTAGACCGTAGATAGATCTGCATTGCATTGTCGTCGGAGACTTTAGGCCCTGAAATACCGACAATTCTTACTGTTTATTGTTCATTATCATCTTTACAAAAGTTTGAATTAATTTTTTGTGTAATACAGTGATTTATAATGACCAAAATCACATTGGTGAAACTGATTTAACATTCACGTTGATCAGATAGTGCTCTACCGATAATTATTGAAACATAGAAAATGTGGCCTGAAAATTATTCGCGGCATAAAAATTTGCGAAATTTTTAATTTAATGTGCGCGAAATTTCCTTGTTTTACAGTATTTAATCTAATTTTTATATGTTCAAGTCATACTCAACAATTAATGGCTACTGCTCATGTAACACTTGGTAACAAGTAAAATATTAAAGTTAAGTAACACAGATATTAGTCTTTTTTTTTTTTTTTTTATAAGAATACATTTTATAAGAAAACTTGAGCCTAAATTAGCTCCAAAATAGAACCAAATAAGAACAAATTGAGGATGAGGTAAAATGTCAATTGAGGTTTATATTTTTTGTTTTGATAGAAAAAACCAACAAATTTTATCTGTACCTTAAGTGTAAAATAATAATTTTCGATGTTTGGAAAGTGTGTAAAAATAAGAACATTTTGAACATGAACTTTGCAAAAAGTAAGAAATAGAAAGTGTAGATCTTAAATTTGGGCAGTTTTTGTATTTGGAAAGCAGAAATATGCATAATACATTAAACCCTTTAGTTTGAGAGCAATTTTGGGACCCAAAAATTCAGGGTGGTCTTAAGGCAAGAGTTTCTAGTTGGAGGGGGGTTTGCTTTGTGTTAAAAGATTAGATAGATTGTTAGTTGGTACTTTGCATATGTGGTCTTGGAATAAGCTATTTTGTAGTCTGAACTACACATGCCCGTTTCTAAGGGCAATCAACATAAGCCTATGCTTGGTTGTGTATATGCATTGGCCTTGATATGGACTTGCACAGTTCTGACTATGAAATGGATTAGAAGGGCCTAAAATTGCAGAATGAACTGTAATAATAATTCGCAAGACGCGACTCAGTTTTTGTACACATTCGTGGCTTTGAAAATGTGGGCATAGTGATTAGTTGAAATCGTTTATTTCGGTCAGTCCATTTATCCAAATACGGAATATAAGATTACGTCATTCTTTTCACATCTGGGTACCTGCATGCAGTGTTTTACAAGTCCTTTATTCTGTCTCAAAATGAACTTGCTCGTTGGTGGCGCTGTCCAGAATGAGAAAAAATAATAATAAGGGACTTGTGGCAAGTCTACAGTATATAGAGTTTTAATTACATTTTTAAGGATTTTCACATTTTATACCAGGCAGTGTATCTTTTGGGCAGTAAAGT